CGCCGACGCGTTGAGCGCGGCGGATGCGTGGATGACTTGCAGCTACAACATTCATTAATATTTAGTTTCTTTCAGATGATACTTTTTAAATTATCAATTTATTTCAATTTTCCACTTCTGCGTGAATTCTCTTTAGTCTTTGTTATCAGTTTCATGTTGCGCAAACGCAGTTATCTCAATTTCAGTGATACAGCGGAGTATTTGAGTGATCAAATAGCGGTAATAATTATCTTTGTGATATTTGACTTGCGCAGCCTGATCAAAAATGTCAACAAACATTCATTATCACAGAAACTAGACATCTAACTGAAGATCCTTTAGAATGAAATGTTATTTACTGTACATAAAATTACAATGGCAATACGATCACTACACACAACGACGCGTTCCTGATAGGACATGACATTAACTTTGGCCTTTATTTGATGTAAATAACGTCGTCTAGTTTTTCCCGTCTTTTTCCTTCAACCTTTTATTCTGTAATGTATCAAATACCCAAACATCTTTACCCTGTGACTCTGTGTGGTGTATAATAAACTTTTTTCTTTGCAAAACCATTTAAAGCGAGTCATCGGAGGAGAAGGGGAAAACTGTTTTGCTTTTTTTATGATGGTAAGTGATACGACGAGCAAGTCGTGCGGTTGATGTTAAACGACACGCCTATTCATAACAGCTGCAGTGCCACTCAGAGCTTTAAATTGCCCATCGCAAACAAAGTTGAAAAGTTCCATGTGCCTGTAATTTCACCAGCGCCATTACCCTTCAAAACCGGAACGCAGTAATGCTCACATTACTGCTTGGCGCAGAAATAGGTAAGGTGGCAGTACTTCCCTGGACGAATTCTTTCACAAGGAGCTCTACTGCTACTAGATTAAATGGTTTAAATATTTACTATTAAATAAGTCTTTTAATAATCTCCGTACAGATTACTAAAAAAAACGACCTCAAAAGAACTTGGAATTACATATAATTACCAGGTTTTATTGAAATCGGTTATCGGAAAGAGCGCAAACCCGGATTCATCCCCTAGTTCGCCTCTATACGGGACTTGACACAGGAGATAATAGAAATCGGTTCTCACTACTCAAAATATATTGAGAGAGAAAACGCCTTGAATTGGAGAACACCAAAATCATCCATTAAATTAATTGCTCCTTATAATAAAATTTTGGCGTTATTTATAAAAATGAATCTTCATGCGCGAACAGCCACCCTTAGAAGTGGATGATTTTCTTCAAAATTAAATGGGACCACTATGGAGGTACCATCTTTCCAACAAAAAAAAGAATCATGAAAATCGGTTCACAAATATCGGAGTTATCGCGTAACATACATACAAAAAGAACATACAGTCTAATTGAGAACCTCCTCCCTTTTTTGAAGTCTACGATACGAAGGATACGATATATTGGATAAGATATATACGGAATATAGGATAAGATATATTGTCTGAAGAATGTGCTTAATCGTTCGTCGTCATTCAATATTTAACTCGATTATATAAAATCCAGAAAACAGGCTACAATAAAAGTCTAAAACGAATTATTTAAGAATAAAATATCTAACTTTGCACATAATTTTAATGTTGGGATATTTCTCTTTAAGTACTACAGAGAACCTGCTAAATTTTGATTTTCAACTGAAGCCCTACAAATTATTAAATACACATTTATCCCAAATCGCCCAGCGGTTTACCGACACGCCACGCCACCCGCTAACAGGTTGTCAGTCACCGTCGGGCGCTAGTCAGCGTCGGATCTGTGTCAAATTTTTCATTTTAAGCGCAGTAAAAATATTAATTTTAAACGCTCAGTTTGCGGGACGCGATCTAGGTTAGCGTTAAAATACTTCCTCATTGTTTTTTCCTTTTGTCCATCTGAATTTTCATTTCTGATTCTTCATTGAAATGCTTTTAAACGTTCTGAACTTAGAACACAACTTTTAATACAACACCAAGTTGTACGAATACTTACTAATTCTAATATTGTTAGAAACAGTGGCGCTAAACTGTTTTGAATTATTTCTCTAAAGATACACAAGTATGTCGAGTGTTACCGTGACACGATAACAAATACGGTTAACAAATTGACGGTCGCAATTTGAAATGTCATAAGGAATATATTGTCGTAATGGAAAATATTCCTTACCACAAAATGTCGCTTACGATATTTCAAATTTCGATATGTATTACCTTTATAGAGACTGTTGAAATTTGAAATGTCCTAAGAGACATTTTGTCGTAAAATCATATTCCCTTACGACAAAACGAGAAACTACATTTCAAATTTCCACCATCCAAATATTTAATCCATGTATTTATGCAAAACGACTTTCCAAAAATAGTGTATATTGTATTTTTATTGCATAATTAACAATAAATAAAATTATGATGAAAATATAAGCTGATAAAAGCTCACAACTCAAGCTAGATTTTCACAAAATATCATCATCATCATCATCATCAACAACCCGTTTATACGTTCCACTGCTGGGCACGGGTCTCCTCTCAGTTGAGGGTTTAGATCATAGTCATTTTAATTAATATTTATTACTTTTTTAATTAACAATTATAGAAAGTATCAACTATATTACAACAGATTTCTTCTTATGAGAATTCAAATTTTCACCATTATCATCATCCCCATAAAAGTTCCACGGTTGCACGTCACCCTTCACGAAGATCACGAAGACGACGTTTGCGATCACCTGGATGCTCGCTATGACTATGAACATTATCTGCCACTTGTGCTGATTTCCCTGCAATATAGTAACAGAATGCTGGTTTGAGAAATGTGCCAGACGATCACACACTTATTACCTACTTTCTAACTACCTATGGAGTATCTTACACCTGTACACATATTAAATACACGTTGCCAAATTACTTATGTGGATTATTTACAGTCTACAAAAATTTACCTACTTTTTATTCACTCGGGGGTTTAAATTGCAAAGACCTGAAGAACACTGCCACTGCGCCTGTCACCCTGAGACAAGTAAGTAAGTTAACAACTCCCACGTGCCTGTCAACAGCACCTATATCCTTCAAAACCGAAACACATTAATTCTCACATTACTGCCTGGCGGCAGAAATAGGTAACATGGCAGTATTTCCAGGGATCCGTACTGCTACTAAAATATATGTACATTCATATAATATTGATGGAAATGACAAACAATATGTACCAAAATGACGAGAACGCGGAAGATTTTTAGAACTAAATTTTCAATTTAATTAAACCGCTAATCGATCCCGGGATCCGGAAACAGAATCGCTTATTATATTGGTCCTAAACTTAATTAATAAAGTCGAAACATGTAAAAATGAAATTGAAAAAGCAAACATGCTATCTACAATTTAGAAGAATAATTGAGCAGTTCTACGAACACTATACTTTCCTCATAAACTATAAATATTCCGAATGTGTTCGCACGCAAGCGAACTTTCTCATTGTAAGTTATGGCAAAAGCGGGTGCATACGAATTTGTCCAAGACTAGAGAAATATTTTTGAAGTCAGTAAGCAAAGTTGCGCCTGAATCTACAATGACAGGGTTCGTAGAAGTATCAAAGTCGATGAATTAATAACTCGAAGAGCTAATAATTGATAGCGTTGAAAATTCCTTAAAACTGCCTCTGTGGCCGAACGGTTACCATACCGGACTGCCACGCAGAGGTCCCCGGGTTCGATTCCCGGGCCGGGAGAAATATTTGTATGGCCTACATTTATTTCTCGCGTGAGTTTCGGTGTAATTTGTGGTTGTCTATGTGTGTGTCCATGGCACCCGCGACACAGGGTTTCCCTAGTGCGGGGCTATGTTGAGTGTGTGCGTTATATTATTATTATGTTTATTTTAAACTCTCGCCTCTAGCCTCTCCCTCTTATTATTATTATTATTATTATTATTATTAAAAGCACAGATGTGACAATGTGACCTCCTTCCACCGTCACCCCACCTTTTCTCTGGTTTCTGGTCACTTGTTTTCAAATTTTGAATCGTTCATTAATTCCTTTACCTCGCCATTCTCATTTTGTTTCGTGCCGTCGTCACTCTCTGCTCAATCGCTGTAGCGAGCAATGCTGCTCGTCCAAATTTTGACCCATTTACCAGTTACCAAAAATCTCTTGTGCGATAAGCATTTAAAAGATCACAAAATGTTAATAAAAACGGAATAAATATTTATAAAACCAGATTTATTCCCAACCTAATTGTCATAACCTAACCTAATCTAACAAAACCTAACCTAATAAATGTGTCAATTTTAATACCAATCTCATCTAGTGATATTGTATAACTCGGTCTTAACTTAACTTACTTAACTTATGGAATAAATTTATGTGGACCGAAGTATCCTATTTTATTGCCGTGTTTGTGGTCACGACACATTAGTGGTTTACAACCTTTTCACGGGTAAGTGAAAATTCCATAAAAGCATAGCACCTGACGTGCTATACGCACTCCAAAGCACTGACGGCGACGTGTGCCTTATTGCTAGTTAATATGGATACATGTAGTATCGCAGTCACATGTAGCGTGCATGCCATCAGTGAAAATATTCACAGTTAGAAATTCCCGTCAGATCACGGTGGACGTTGGAGCAACACTAACGTCACTAACACTGACATGTACGGAATTCGTACAGAATTTGTGAAGCAATATCATTTTTCAATGACCAACGATTTGAATTGATTGTCTCTTGTCGGCTTTAAGTCTTTACTTCAAGTCAGTAAACGCAAATGACGATTACACCACATTAGGTGGACAGATGTTTGTGTGATTTTTACTTTTTTTACTTCTGAAGCAGCTTTGTTAAAGATTTTAGTGACCAAAACCCGAAGCTTGCATTAAGTATGACTGCCTATCCCAGTTTTCATAAGCGTATTGTTGGAAAATTCAAGAGTTCATAGAAAGTACTTTGGCTGATGTTTAATCTGTACAAGTTGCACATTTGTATACAATACAAAGAGTCGCTTTTCTGAATTGAGTACACGCTTCACAGTATCGGAAAATTAATGCTCCTGCGGAGTGCTGGCATTCAGATGTAAGAAATAGAGCAGAATCTAATTACATTTAGATTTTTTATTCAAAATTATGTTTTTTTGCAATTTATGACTGTGTCAACTTACCGTATCATCCCCAACAACATTGGAAATCATTACAGGTACTAACAAGCTGGAGAGATTTGCGATCATGTTTCCTATAGACATCAAAATTCCAGAGAAGTTAGGTGCTAAATCTAATGTGTTTATCTGAAAAAATACCGTAATTAAATACATAACAGGAAAAGCAAAGTAGAATTGAATAAGACGAAAATAATTTATTCGTGGAAAACAAAATATAAAAGTAAGACATTGGATAGTACGACGGCAAGTGAACATAAATAATATAGATATTCCTAAGCTCCAATGGCAGAAATGGTTTATACATATATATATATATGCTTCAAGAAATTGATTAATCGATGCATAATGTGATACACTAACCAAGTTCAATAACATTTCCATAGAATTTGAAACGAACAGAGCACTTGACTGTATTATGCGGCAACGCCAATTTGACTATCAATGACTGTGTTTCACAACATTTTCATTATGCGAATTTGCGGCAGGTCAACTCAGTTGAAATCGAATTACGAGAGAGTTACATAATTAGCAAGCTATACACAGGTGCAAGTGAGAAAGGAGATTGACACCCCACCGTTGCAAAGAGTGTATATTGTATTTATGGCTTTAAGATAAGAAACTTATACCATAAACATAATATCCGATAATAATATGACTATAGTATTTAACTTGCATAGTTAATGTTCTTTCAAAGCGCAGTCTTCGTTGTCTACATCTTCTTTGGCTGCATTTAGAATGATCTGATGTAGTATTTATTATATATCTATTAATCAGCAAATATATTTAATACCAGGATCTTAAATATAATATTAATTTTTCAATTAAGAACATAACTTAAAACCAATGCACAAGCCATTGGTAAATTTACTCACATGGAAACCGACATGAACGCCCGAATGCAAACCCAAACACAAGACCAGGACAATAACCGCAGGCAACATGCTATTGACGAAGCAAAATCCAACCAAAAAGGCTCCTGATACCACCATTCCTATGGAAAAGGTCAACTTGTAAAAACCAGTAACCAAAAACATGCTGTAGGTTGGAGGTAGAATTCTTTATAAATATAAGGAGTCCCTGGAGGCCGGCTCGAAATCAAGAAGTGGACTATGGCCTAAACATTCTCGTTAGGTGATATCTGTTCCTAGCCATGGATGGATAGTGAGTGTAACGATTTGAAATAGTAATTACAACAGTGACATTTATTTAAGTATATTATAAATATTTTGTATATTGCATACGCGACAGTCTTTGAAAATGGAATTGATTTTATACAAGTACGAATAAAATAGATTAAGACCATAGACTTACAAATAAATGAACGACGGGTCTAATACAAAAACCACGAAAAAAATGTCCCAAGTCAACCTATTTAAACGTAGTGACATGTAAAGGAATATGAAAAAGCTAAAACGTTGAATTTAAATTGTAATGTCATCGCAGCACTGTCTAATTTTGCTTGCTGCGCTGTCAGTCGAACAAACGAAGACTAAAACGTGAATGACGCTCTGTATACGATTTTAACGCCCTATAAGTTCGGACACTTTTTAGCGCGGACCCGACGTCCATATAATTGTAAGTCAATGATTAAGACAGTTAAAGTTACTGCTTACCAATTGTATTTGCTACTCTTCGTACATTGGCGATAGACATTATGTTTTTAGTAACACACATATCAGCAAGGTAGCCAAATAATAACGCACTGAAGTACATCGCTATGTAAGGGAGAGAAGAATACACTCCATTCTGGAATTAAATAAAAAGTAAACATTTGAGTCTTTGTATCGCTTTATTGTGGAAGATAGAAATGAGAATTTTTATATACTTAATTTTGTTATTATTTGTAATTTTATTGAAAGTCACCTTTTTGATACCGACGCCAAGGACCTTGCTCATATAAATAGGAATCTGCATGAGGACAAAAAGATAGGCCATGGCACTGCCGGCATGCGAGACGATCACGCCCCACATCGGCTTACTTTTTAGAATATGACGCCACGGGACTTTGCGTTTCTAGATCAGGAAAAAACACAAATAAGAAATCTTAAAAATGAAAGTATATAAATTTACTAAAAAATAAAGATAAAAAAAGGTCTTTTTTTTAAATTAACATCTAACTAACTACAGTTTCCATAATGATTCGCATACTACAAAATGATCTTCATATTCAATTCCGTCGTTTAAAATTCTTAGATCACGTTTCACTTTTAACATAATATAACAAAAGACTAGCACAAAAATTAAACTCTTACTTTCGGAACAGCATCGGCATTGCCATCAGACATTATATAAGTAAACTCTTCAGCTCTCAGAGATGGGTGATCGTAAGGAGAAGCAGCGCCCAACCATGCAAGCAGTCCTAAGCAGATGAAGCTGACAACTCCCCATAGCCAGAAGGTGGTTGGCCAACCGAGAGCAGGGCTACCTGCTAAAAGGCCGGAGAGCGGGAAAGCCAGAACTGTACCAAACTGGGACCCTAAGACCAAAGATAGATTATGAAATGGCAACCTCCGTTGATTACACTTACATACAGCACCTGTCAATCGATAACATTATACTAGTTTTGCTAGTTCACGACATAACTGAGTTTACTCATTCGAGAACAATGAAGTAATTTCACTCGTGAACGAATGCTACCTATACGATAAGTTCAAAGGAACGATAAGTCGAGATGAAAATTTTGTATAAAAGTAATTTAAGAAAGATCTTAAAATATCATTTTTTCACTCTCAGAACTAATATAAAAACTTTGAACAACTTTTAACTTAACTCTTTTAAACACTAAACTTATTTTCGCACTTACTCGTAATTAACTGAGAAAAGGAATTAATTTAATTTCATATTCCGCAAACTTCAACGTAACAACTGAAAACTTTATATTTAATTTTTAAAAACTTCTCGTCTTCGGAGCGAAGCTAGTTTGATATAATTACGTATTATTTTATGTATTTTCAATATTATATATTCGAACTTTAATTGCAGATGGCATTTTATAACAGATTTTTTTCATTTATTTTCCAATACAAAATTGTATACATTTACCGTTCGTAAGTCTAACCTACCTACTGCAATCCCTTTAACGGGTTTATACGTAGGTGGGTATATCATCGCACAGCATTATAGAGCATTCTTTTTTGATAAACGAAAATAAACATTAAACTAAATTAAGAGAAATAAAGTTAAACAGGAGAAATTGTAACTATTACTACTAATCATAACATTTAAAATTTTTAAGTAATTAATTTTTTTCTATATGCTAACAACAATTACCAACAATATTAGTACTTGATCAAATTCTTTCATCAAACAGTACTAGAGTATTGTTTGATGAAAAATGCCTTCAACCTGTTTTTACATTGCTTTACATTTTTACATGTTAATATTTTCTATGAAAGATATTTAGGTACCTATGTGTTTAGCGTATCCGGGAGCATGTAACCCCTTGTTTCGTTGAATTGTTGTTGAATTGTAAATCGGTAAGTACGATAAACTACGCAAATTAGAAGGTCTTCTTTTTGGTTCTAAGTCACGAATTAGTGTAAAGCTTTCACAAATAGTTAGCATTCTTATTTTATCAAATATACTTAGAACTTTACAGTGACCAAATAATTGTGCGTAGTCATCCTTATACATGTTTTTAATTTTAACAGTGTACCTGTTTTATTTAGTGTTGTTTGTAGGTAGTATATATCTTCTAAGTAAGTCTTATAGGTACTTCCGTAGCTGTTCAACCCGTATGAGATTGCTGAGTCCACCAATGGTAAGTACATGGTTCTTAATGTTTTGTATGGAAGCTTATAACGAAGAACAGAGAATTTAGCCAGTAAAACACACAAATTTATAACAAATTAAGTTAATGTGGTCTCGCCAATGAAACTTGCTATCAATCATTATTCGAAGGTACATGTGATTTTGGACCAGGTCTATTGTTTGCATCTACAGGTATTGGTAGGCTTTTGAATGTGTAGACACTGATGTACGTGGGCCAAGATGATAGGTTGTGTAGACTTAGGTTTATATGGCGATACTATGTGCATTACTTTGGTTTTTTGTGCGTTTATAACAAGACCAACATCGTGCGCCCGGTTACATGCAGTATCAAAGTTATTTTGCATAACTTTTTGATCAGTCCCTATGTCTAAGTGTGCGGTTAGTAGAGATGTATCGTCCGCGAACTGGTACACAGATCCTTCCGCAAACAAGTTACACATTTTGTTTACGTACATTAAGTATTCTGTGGGGGCAATAATTCAACCCTTTGCTGTCCCTTGCCCCGTCAATATCCAGTCACTAATTCCTCCGTCTATGCTGACTTTGGTACACTTGTTTTCATGATAATTTTTAAACCATTCTAATAACGGCCCCTGTATACCATTGTCATACAGTTTATCGTAAAGTGTATTTAGGTGTAAAGTTTCAAATGCTTTGCTAATGTCTATAAACAAAACTATCACATGTTTGCATTTTCTATTCTATCCGTCTTCCACTCACATAGCAATCTCTTTTTTTTTTCTTTACGTGTAAACTTACTGTAAATTAAACTAAGCTTTTTTATAATAAAATTTTAAACATCCACTGGTCTGTTCATTTTTAACGCCTGAGACCAATCAATTTCTCGAAGATCGTGTCTTACTTTTGCGTTGTCCAATTTGTTTTCATATTTGCACTGCGATGGTACACATCTTACCGGCGCAGTTGATACAAAACTGGTTATGAAGTGGTCAGCTAATTGAGTAGTTATCACAGCGGTACACACGAGACGCGCCCCCGCGCTTCGCACGAAAATGTGATCTATGCATGATCTTGTTATTCGGTCTTCATTATTTTGTATTCGTGTGAATTTATTTATACCCGATTCTAGACCGATTTCGACAAATTTATTTTTGTAATATGTTGTTATGTTGTTTGTTATCATTAAATCTATATTGCAATCTCCTGTTAAAACGTAGTCATGTCCGGTACGTCGAGACAATATTCGTAAATCTTGTTTTGTCCGTGTCTGGTGGTCGATATACCGCGCATAGACCGAAAGCGTAGCCTGTGCACGTTATTATCTCGCCTGTTATACATTCGCAGTAACATGTAACTGTTGGGTGTCTCATAAAAGTTATACTTTTGTTTATGTATACTAATATTCCACCTCCTTTTTTTATTTTTACGTAACTGGCTGTATGTATCCGATAAGAAAAGCAAACATTTTATATGGTCTGAAATATTGACAAATTCATTCCAATGAGGGTGATTAATTTCTATAATATTTACTTGTATGTTTCTATCCATAGTAATTATGTTAGGAAATAACATTGATTGTATCTACTTACTCATTCCTTTTTAAGCATTTCGGCCAGTCGTTTGATATCGCTCTCAGTTCTGATAGAGTGAAGTTTTGCATTTTACGTGCTAGAACAAGCCCATTCTAGCACCAAACGTACTTGCATAGTCCTGTATTTTTCAGTTCTGTCTTTGCTTTATGTAGAAGAAATGCTGTTTTGGGGATAGGCACTACCTTATATAATATGGCTTTTGTTCCCTAGACTCTTTGTTGAATCTAGACTTGTGTGGTATGGATTTAGAAGCTACCATCCATTTTCCCTTGCGGCCTTCCTTTAACGATACCATAATAACGGGTGGTACTAGTTGCTGAGTGGCACCCGCGTTCGTCCCTGCCCGCTTTTTTTCCGGTTTACGGTACACGCTAATCATGTGACCCTCGTTTTGATTTAGCTCTTCGCAAATCGTTTTTACAATCTGCTCCAGTTCTTCTTGCTCTTCCTCTTAATAGTTCGATAATTTTTCTTGAAGTAGTGTATTGTATTTTTGTTCAAGTGTCTCGTAATGTAGCTGCATATTTTCCTGTTGATTTTTTACGTCGGTATATTTATTTTCTATTATTTTAATCTTTGTTTCGTATGAGTTGACTTTGATTTCGAAGTCGTCAATCTTGTCTGCGTAGAATTTAAGTGATTGCAGCAGTTCGTTAGTAATTACTTTACGAATCTCTTTTCTCATCTCATCTAGGAATTTATTAACTGTGGGTTGATTGAAATTTACCGCCGGGTCAGAAGATAGCTCCTCGTCTATTTCTTCTTCTGGTTCCGGGTCTGGCATGATATACGAAAGTCTCTTAGGTTTGCTGTTGTTTGCCCCCATCGCGCAGTTCTGGCACTTCCAATCAGCTGTTTCAGTTTTATGTAGGGTCATCAGCTGTTCTATTGTAATCGACACGCACACACAATGAAACCACGTATTACACCTCATAGAAAGTATGCCCGGGTTATTTTTATTCACTACTTTTGAACAATTAGCGCACTCCACCATCTTTTTAACCAACTTCAAAAAAGGAGGAGGTTCTCAATTCAACCATATGTTCTTTTTTTTGTATGTATATTACGCGATAACTCCGGTATTTGTGAACCGATTTTCGTGATTCTTTTTTTGTCTTCCATACTTCCATAGTGGTCCCATTTCATTTTGAAGAAAATCATCCACCTTGAAAGGTGGCTGTTCACGCATAAAGATTCATTTTTATAAATAGCGCCTAACTTTGATTTAGAAGCAATTACTTTAATGGTTGATTTTGCTCTTTCTCTAATTCAAGGCGTTTTTCTCTCAATATACTTTGAGTTGTGAGAACCGATTTTTATTATCTCCAGTGTCAAGTCCTGTATAGTGGCGAACTAGGGGATATTTCAATAAAACTTAGCAAATAGACGTACTATTCCACGTACTTTTGAGGTCGGTTTTTTTAGTACTCTGTACTGAGATTATTGTAGGTGTATTTTTTCGCTAAACACTCAAAGGATCAACTCCACCGTACCGATCCAACAGTATTACCTAAGTCGTTGGATTACTAAGCCACCGCAGTGATAGTAAGATGTGACTGACATCATTGTGACACTAGTGCGATCACTGTTTGGAGATCGTGTATTTATAGATGCACTAAAATTAAAAAATAATATTGTGTTCAAAATAATGTGTGAATTCATGTGTTAACTCTCTACAAACCTAATATTAATTACAACCAGCAAACGCTAACTAGTTTTAGTAAATGCGGAATCAGTAGCGACCCTTGAAGGACCCACTCTGAGTGTGTCGAGCAAAATACTTCAACCATATTCCATCCCTATAAATTAGATTAGTTACTGTTTGTGGAGTGTTACTGGATGCTTTCCCTGTTTGCTTGAGACAAGATTTCGACAGATTGCGCAACAAACTGTTATGATACCTACTACTGAGCAAGTCGATGGCTTGATGTGAAAAGAATATTCCAATTATTTAGTACTTAATAGAACAAGGTGGAAAATATAGTTGAAGTAGCATAACGATGTTTTTATAAACGCCCGTCACTGTGTTACATAAGTTGACGAGTCTCATTTACCTGTAATTGCACCAGCAACTTCGAAACGCGGTAATGCATCACTGCTTGCTAAGGTTAATGCGGAAATATAACAAGGAAATAGGGATTACGCCTATATAATTCGCACTCACTGTAATCAGTATTTTAAGTTTGACAGTACCTGATCCTAATTATAAGAAGCCTATGCCTTATAAGAAGGCTCAAGATCACCCAACGGACAATGATAGGGCTGTGTTCGGAGTTTCTATGTGAGATCGAATTAGAATCTAAATTAAAATAGAAGTCCTATCTCCTTCTAGATTGCTACAAATCATAGTTTTGCTTTCATTTAATATTCATATATCTGTATATAGTCAAACTCTAAACCCAGCTTCACTTTATAGATAAGCAAAAAACACACAAAGTCGTTATTTTATATAAGTTTGTATCAAATATTATACACCTCGTCGTTTGCTATTTCCCACGAATATCATGAAATGTAATTGTGGTAATCAAGACGTTCGGAATTGCGGAAAGAGTCCCCTTATCGCGTGAACATAGGATGCAACGTAACCCCTAAACGTAAAAATACGTAAGGATCTTATAAATGGAGAAAAGAACAAAAATGTTAGTGGTATAACAGTTACTTAAAACGACACATATTGAGAAATCCACATGAGTAGATTGTCTTTATAGTTGATAAAAAGAAATAATATAACTTTTTATTGCATCTAACACTAAAAAACTTTTACACATTGGATAAATTGAGGTTTTTTTACCCGTAACAGTAACGCAGAGCTTTAAATCACAAAGATCTGAGGAGCACATGGTGGCAGTATCTCAAGTAGAACTCGTTCACAAAGAGCCCTATTGCTACCAAAGTTTTAAGTTATGTACGTTTGATCACGATCTTTTCTTGTGATTTTATTGTAAATAATATTTTGTAATTGGTATAAGTTTTTTTTATACCATGGAACTTGAATAAACCTTCCCAACGAAATTATTAAATCGTGAAACTGATCCATTCCCTACCTCATTTTACGAATGAAAATTATATATTTATAGCATTATTCAAAACCAACTAAAGTTATGATTAATTATTAATACAAATATGGAATATCTTTCTTCAACCCGCTGAGACATGAACCCACGACCATGTTACACCGTAGTAGTTACATCTAGTGAGAGATTTTTGAAACCTCCTGGCCGCAGCCGGTACCTTTACAGGTACCTCAATGGACGTAGTTGTCGCTTTTTGTTCAAATGTATTATTGAGACTTTTTGGAAATAACTCTACTAGTTATATTACTAGTTACATAGATACATACATAGATCGAACACATCGAAACATTTTTTTCCCTGGACTCGATGGGACATATTATGTCATGGATAGCAACGATGTTTACCGTAAAATTAAATACCAGATAATATGGGGTACCCCGTTTCGCTATATAGTTCTCGAAAAATAACTACGGGATTTATGGTGCGATTCCCAAGTGTTTTCTTTGTAGTTGCCGCCTACTTCTTCTCCGTAGAGAAGTGTCAACAGCGTTCTTACAAAATTCAATTATTTACTAGCACACATTTATATATATTGATTAAATTTATGAAATTGATAAATTTTTTTAGTGCTCGAGATCGA